TTTGTGAGATATTGTTAGTGCCACTCAAACACAGAATTCATATCTTCTTGCCACCGTCTAATATCCCTTTAAATATTAATTTAAAAAATATCTACCATGATCATCTTGTTCCCTTCACGATGTTATCTCTGAAATTAGTGAGATCTGCCTGGCTGATCGAGTACTTTACTGAAAACACGGCGTATGAGATCATAAATATAGTTGCGGCATATTTCACTTTCTGAACATATAATTGGTAAGATTAAAAAAAGATATCCCTAAGTTTGGCGAAATAATTGCTTTCATACCAAAATTTGCATGCACGAACAGATACTATAAGTAAAATTGAGATGGCAAATGTCACATATCTCTCTTTTGAAATTGAAACATTTATTTTAAATGGCAAAATGGCAGCACTTTTTGCCTTTATCATCCTCAAACTGAGATACTCTTTCTTTGGAATATCATTCCTATGTAATACCATGTGGCAAATATGGGAGGGGTGATAACGAGGTATTTACATCTCACTAATCACACCAGGGGATCAAAAGATATCTTAACTTTATTTTGTTATTTATTTAACAGGGAGTATTGATGACAAAAGCGTTATCCATCCTTCTGTTTCGATTTCTTTGCTTTTTTTTTTTTGTTTTTTCGGATTTAACTTTGATGGGGTCTTTTTATTAAATATCTGTAAAACATTCTCAATTTTCTTCGTGACAAATAAATATAGTCCTAATTTTCCATGTAGATTTTACCTTTTGCTTTAGTTTTGACTTTAGTTCGAAAATTTGCTTTGATTTTAAATTTAAAATTAATACCCTCCTAGTTGTAGTTTTAATTTTCTACTCTTAAGTGAGATGTAAAAAGAAATTTGTAAACGTAAAGGAGGTCAAACACTATGCTGTTTCTATCGATACAATACAATTTATTATCTCTAAAAAATAAACTATCTTTACCTTCGGACATTAAAACAAACTTCATTGAAAATAAAATTAGATTTATTTTTTGCCGAAAACACTTTAAAGTTTTCAGTTAACGAATGACAATAGGTCGTGCTCCTTGTAGGTAATGGCCCAATGCGGCGAGCACAGAAGTCAGGTGAAGTCAGCGGAGAAGTCAGGTGAAGTCCACAGAGAAGTCAGGTGCAGTAACAAAGAGATGAGGATGTACCACTCGAAAACTTATGTTGTTTATCTGGTGCAGAAAATCTTGGATTTGAAAGCTTTTTCCTCTGCATTGTTTTGCTCTGTGGTAGACATAAACTTGTCTGTGCTAAGAAATTCCACGAACAGAGTAGTGGACTCATTTCCCTTCACCGCGAAATTGAAAGAAAGTACCCAACACGAAGGTGAACATGTGCAAGAACCGTTCTATATCCCTTCAAGAAGAGGGGAAATCCTTCGTTCAAGACGACAGTTACTGCCGGGATTTTGCTGTAATTCAGCTTCAAAGCGGTCCACCACAACTAATCGTTTGTGTTTGCATAATTAACGTTATACTATCAATAGCATCAGGAATAGCAAATACCTTGGTTATCTCTGTAATTTGGAAAACGCCAGCTTTACGCTCTCCTTCTATGGTATTGCTCTCTGGACTCGCTACAGCTGACCTTGCGGTTGCTGTTGTCGCTCAACCACTATTTTTAGCTATTAAAATGAAAATCCTCCTAACGAGCTCTGAGAGCGATACATGCGACTTGGGGATGATATTTGGTATTACCCTTTACGTGACAAATGGTGCATCGCTAATGACTGTTACAGCCATCAGTTTAGATAGGTTATTAGCAATTCGATATGATTTAAGATATCCTAGTATCGTAACAATTCCACGGGTTATCTACGCTATTTCTCTAAGCTGGTTGATCAGCGGATTTCTGGCAACCCTTTTTTTATGGACAGGGTATGATACATACCTGATTGTTACACTTTGTGGAATAGCCATTTGCTTTTCCTTTTGTAAAATTACACATTTGCGAATTTACCGCATCGTTTGTCGTCACCAACGACAAATCCAAATGCAAGTGGAGGCAGTACAAGAGGGAAATAGGTCACAGATGGCACGATTTAAAAAGACGACTGTCAACGCCTTTCTGATTCATTACTGTCTGCTTCTATGCTATACACCATTAATCACATTAAAGGCTCTAATCAGCAGATTCAAAGGTAGCCTCGAGTTTGAATCGTGGTATAGGTATCATGGTCCTATTGCATGGAATTTGTCAGTTATTTTTCTTTTCATGAATTCCTCTTTGAATCCATTGATTTACTGTTGGCGTCTACGAGAAATGCGACTCGCAGTGAAGGGAACCCTAAAGAGTGTCTTGTGCAAGAATTGATTTTCTTTTGAAGAGAGAATAAATTATAGACAGAGCAGTTCTGGTCTAAGGTTACCCAATTCACTACATTGCAAAAGAGTCGTCTTTCCCATTATTCTTGGCATTGCATCGTTTACAAGTAGTTTAAGATGGTTAAGCCTGTGAAATTCTTAAACGAGTTTGTAGCAGCAGATTATAGGATTCTTCCTTGGCCAGCGATAAACACTTTTTATTTCATACACTATGATAAATCAGCATCACTTTACAGAAAAGAGGCACCTGGGCTATTTGCGTTAGTGCTTGTTTTTTTTTCAGATTTTTAAATGGATCTAGTGACAAATAAGGGTACCAAACGCTTCACAGTGTCTTGAACGTTTTAGTGGCGTGAAAAATGATCTTCAACTTGGAGGCGATCGGAAAATGTTATTTTGGTTAGACAAAATACAGTAACTAATAAGGATCCAGGAAGGAGAAGGGATTACTCGGAGTAGAACAGATTGGAAAGCTGCGACTGGTACCCTGGATTCTTTGATTGGCGAGCTCACACACTTCTATATCAAATTGCAAACATGTTGATTATTCGTTTAATTGATATCACGAGTCAACACTCTGTGCTACAAAGCCGTGCTTAAGGGTTGAGTTTACTTCTTTCCACTTTTTCATTGTTCGTCTGTCGATTTGACAAAGACTGCCCTACTTGCGATTCGGTTGGTGATCTTAACTACTCGAGCAACAGAGAAATTTCAAGGAGGCTCTAAATGGTTTCGTTATTTGTTACCTCTGATTCCTCGATGTTTCTATACTTTAACGCTTATGTCCATGGTGGCCTTGATGTTTGGACAACTAAAAGTGACTCTAAATTGTATATCAAGATATCATAGAATGTTCAGAAGAAGAACTTTGATTTTATGCCAACATCCTAATAAATAACAGCGGAGGTCACCGAACTCATATGTAAATGACTGGCAAACAATTTACAGTTCGATTTAACACAACATTTTCTTTCAGAAACAGCCCCTAAAGACTTAAACCTGAAAGCTGTGCGTATAGGTCATATAGAATAACACTAGAATGACATTAGAATAAAAAGGCACAATTGAAACACGGTTAATACCATGAAGCTTTTACTACTTAAGCTATTCGCTTTAGGCATGTGCTTGCCCAAGGTTTTTTTGGCAAAGAGTTCAAAACGATATAACTGATGCGAACCCATGATATGCTGCAAAATTATGTGGGTTCAGTTCTTACTCTTTTCTATGCCTTTTGACAATGCCCGCCGCACGAACATCGTAGGTGTTTGATCTGTTTTAACACTCCGGGACTGCACTTAACTTTAATGACTTCATTTATTTTTAATATCCTTTTCTCCTAAAAACTATCATCAAAATAACAGATCCAGCAAAAAATAATCACACGCGTGCAAAGAATGATCCAGTGGGCTCTGAGCCGGATAGAAGACATATATGGAAGAAGGAAACCGAAGACTCGTCCATAGACTCAACTGAAAAGAACGCAACCACATATTTTTCTTGCCCGACTTGAAGTCAAGCTAAGCCTATTTATTTCCTTCGCTATGAAGCGCAGATTCAATTGTCACTATCATAGATAGCCACAATAATGAACTTAAGGTCGTCGTACTTACATGTTAAACTCTGACAAGTTTACTGATCCATAAAGCCTGGAGGAACTAGAACAACTGGTCGAGATTAACCTTAACCCTACTTCCTTCCCCTCCTTACAAAAGAATTTTATCATCAATATCTTTAAGGAAATCAGCTTCATCATTGTTTTGGTCCTAGCACTTAGAAATTCGTCAGATAACATATGAAGTAAGATTCACCAATTCAATTCAAATTTAAATAGAACCTCGAATGATTTTCTATGATGCTGATGCAAAGCTTTTTTTCAATGAAGTAATTATTTGAATTTAAAGTAAGTTGGCTGCATAGCACATTGATGTGGCATATTACTGATACATATCATGAATTGAAGCCAAAATTGCCGTTTTGTTCATTTTGTTTTCATGAGCGATTGCGATTGGTTTCCCTTAATTGCAGAGGAAAAATTTTATTCCAAGAGGAGATGTAATCGATAATAATTGGTAATTTTTATTTTAATTCATTCCGGCTAAACTACTGAAATGTCTTTTCTTTAATAATACTTTGAATCAAATTTAAAAAATCGCCATCAGGATTTTTTTTACCCAATCAAAACGTGATGAGAATTTTTGGTTTTTTTAGACAGTCCCTTAGTTTTCCTTCCTTAGGTACAAAGAGCTAAAATACAAAATTTCCCAATACTGCGTACATGAAAACCACGCATATAATTATCATAGAATTTAACTAATACTAACTGAAGTAAATTTGAGTAACAGTAATAAAATACTTAATGTGTTCCGCTTTTCATGACAGGATTAGTGGATATTGCTTAATATAACTTTAACGAAATAAACAAAAGATGTTCAGAAAATGGATCGAAAAAGAAAAACCGGTTTAGTTTATCTTCCGTTTAATAAGTGCTGCTAACATGACTCCGGTTGAGATCTAATTAAAAGTCAAATCATTTTGACATCTTTGGGAGAAGTTGAGTAAACACAAGTGTACATCAAAGGACTTGAGTATTAAAATGTCCACCATGATAACCGTTTTTCAAGTACTCAAAGAAACCAAATTGCATCTTTTATTTCTCACAAGTACAGTATAAAGATGGTGTCTTCACCTTCCCTATCGTTTAAGGTTCTTCTGGTAGCTTTTTTTAGTTCTTCTTTATTCACAATCTCTAGGTCTACCGAGGTAAGAGAATTTTAGTCAGCCAAAAAGTTTGTTCAAAGTGGGAAAGAATATTGATTTACTCTACAACGGAAAACCAGAAAATTACTTTGGTTATGTTTAACATAGTATTCAGAAAAATTTCAAATTTAGGAGCTTTTTCTCACATAAGCTACTTCAAGCACGCATCGTCTTCGCCGATTTTTCTTTTTTTCTGAAATGAAAAATATCAAAACCAACGAATATCAAACAAGAATGATTTTGTATGGAATTTTCTATCATGGAGATAAAAATTCAAACAGGTTTTTAGGTTTTGAAAAAATATCTTCATTTTCTTTATTTTTTTTGTATCAGAAGGAAACTTATTTATAGATCTTCCTCCATCCAACGTATCAAAATGCACTATATCTAATCATGAGATTAAAAGCCTTGGTTGTTTTAACAACCTGAGAGAAAAAGACCAGTTTTCAAATTTGTTTTAACCTTTAGTGCAGAACCTAGGTAAACACGTGCTCTGATTTGTTTCTCTAAGTCTCTCGATAGTGTTTCTGAACCACCCCCAACCTTGCCTCCGTTTCCATGCAACTGCAAGGACGGCACACCAGGAAGAGATGGCAAGGACGGTAGAGATGGCCTGACCGTTGTGGGTCCGCCTGGACCCCCAGGGAATAATGGATTGAATGGAACGGACGGAAAGAATGGCAGAGACGGTAAGGATGGAAGGGATGGGAGAGACGGAGAAAAGGTGAATAGGATATGATTTACTTCAGTTACTTTCCGTGACAATGAACTATGATGTGCACTTTTTTTCGCTTATCTTGCTTACCATCGCTACTGTTATTATTCCTTATTTTTTACTGATGACGTTTCCAGGGGAACCCAGGTTCTTCGGGTGAAAGAGGACCTCCAGGAGTCTGTGATATAGCAGAGGTGAGTAAGGCTGAATTTTAATGTTAGCTAATTAAAATGACTCACTCACTAGGCCATAACACTTTTAGCAATACATTAAAATATACTGGGAGGACGAAAATGTGCAACTCATCCAGTAAGAATTCATCTCGTGATAAATGTATAGTGCCAACCGGACCAAGATAAGCTTGCTCGTTTATGAAGGCCACTAGAATTACTTTCAGGTAAAATACTCAACCACAAACTTTACTAATATAGGAAGTGTTATTCTTTATAGCTGAACTCAATCAAAGCTCGAATTCTTGATCTGGAACGGAAGGTAAGATTCCTTTGAGCTTGTGGTAGCATACGAAAGAATCAATTTCTTGCATTGAGACTCGGTAAGTTGTAATAATGTTTAATCCTCCTTAAAGCGAGAGGCCCGGTATCCCTTCACTTGCATGATAATATAAGCTAATCAGCCGGTGGTCTTTACTCCACCCTCCCCCCCCCCTCCCCCCCACACACACACACACACACACACACACACATTCCCCTAAGAAATAGCGATCATTACCTTGAATTGTTTGAGCTTATTTATTACGTTTGCAATTATCACAGGTGGAGAAAGTCAATGAAACTTCAGAGACGAGACTCAATATTTTAGACAACAAAATTGATGCAAAAACAGCTGAGCTACTGGCAATAATCCAGGTTAGTCATCCACTCCCCTCAGTAAATACAACTTGGTTTGAATATGTCAGGGTTTGGTTTTGGATAAAACAATTTTTTAATTCGTCGCCACATCTCTACCTAACTGTTTATTTCCCTCTGGTCTATGAGTACTGCAAGATTTCCTTTAAAAAAAAAGGAGGCATTTCCCTATTGGTTTAGGATAAGATTTACGAAGAAATGTCAAATGTCACTTATGAAGTTAAGGCAGGTTAGAGCCGAAAGACCAACACCGCATGAACCAAAGCAGGCAGCTAAGAATCTGTGTTTTACCTCGTTTTTCATGAAATAGATAAGTTAATTTTTTTTTGACCTGTCAGATATTAGGAGCTGTTAATTATATCTATCATTTGAAGCTGTTTTGGTGAAAGATTTGTCCGAAACATAACTTGATATTTGGCAGGAATAGTTGGATTTATAAGCCATTTTAATCATTGGAACTATTGTATCATCGAAGATTCAATTCTGTGGGACCAAACAAACAGGACTACGTGTCCTTGCCGCCTCTTAAAGTGGTGAAAAGTTTGAGCCCTTTTGTCAGATGATGTTTCTTTTTCTTCAGATTGTCAATCAAACAATTATTCCAGGGCCTCAGGGACCACAAGGGCCTCCCGGAGAGAAGGGGCACAAGGGTGACAAAGGGGAACCCGGAAAGACAGGGCCACAAGGACCACAAGGAAAACAAGGAAAGGAAGGACCAAAGGGAAACAGAGGCTTTCCCGGTTTACCAGGAGCCAAAGGAGAAAAAGGTGATAGTGTCACACTAAAGGGCTGCAGACACAGAATGAAAAGTTCTGCTTTAAGAAATGAAAATGGCTTCAAAGAGGTTATACTGCAGGGGCCTTCGCAGGTAAGTTGATTGCAGTGCCTTTCATAATTACAGCCATCTATAACTAAATAGGTTAAGGGAGAACTTCTCCATGAATCCACTTGTAAAAGGAAACTTGTAAGCGGTCACACAAAATGTAATTTACGAGGTGACTTTCGAGAACGAAAGAAGGTAGATTGGGGGGAGTCTTTTCGAACTTTTAAATATTCGGCCAGGGATACAGGTTTTTTCGTTTTGGGTTGCCATGTTTGGTACACTAAGAACACTAGATCTAATTGCAATCAATTAATAATAATCAAATAATACAGCGAAAAAAAGTCAATAAATTATTGTCAATATAAGTAAACTCCCTGTGTAAGGAGTGCCGCCGAGGTACCAATGATAGGATGAAGTAAAAGCTTTTCTTTACATGTTCATGTATCATTAATTCTAAAATCTACATCATTATCTTTTTCGTCTTTAAGGGTTATGTTTTAGTGGGAGTGACATGTGCAGCTGTTAAAGGAGGGATCGCTCATTTGTTTTATCAGGAAACAAAAAAGTCCTACTTGTGTTACTGTACTTTTCCATCTACTTGTAAAAAAGGAATTGCTGGGCGGGACGATAGACGCGGAAAGCGAAGTCCGTCTCATAAAAAAGATAAGGACTGGAGAGAGGGTAAACAACTAGATGGACCGAAAGAGTGTTACCTCCATTACTGGGAATGTCCTGTTCTTTGAAATGTTAAATGATAGATTATCAGTTCTAAGAAATATAATAAATCGTTTTAAATCAAACGCGCTCTCAGTTACAGCTGATTCTTTTCGGTTGTCTTCTGGAGAACGCTGTTGGAAGCCTTCGTGCAGATCTTGTCACAGATGATAGTCTAGCTGTTATAAATTTTAAATCGCTCCATATTTTCTCTGTGTGTTTTAAGTTGTAGTCGAACCAATCAACAAAAGAATTAGCACTTAAATAAAACATTCGCAAAACCACTTGCTTCACTGTTTGGTTGCCGCCAACATTCACACATGTATTGATTTAAGGTAAGTGCTTCAGTCTTGAATAGATAAGCTAAAACATCAAGAAATTTCCAGTGGTCGCTTCAATACTCTTCACAAAGGCAATTATCTAGCTTAGACCTGGCTCCGTGCAGTATTTGAAAGTACATTTTCTAGACCAAACATTCCGTAAAATCCGTTTTTGTTTTTCTGAATTCGTCGAATGGGAACATCGATATTTTAACATCTCCTCTTTGTTTTTATGTCCTTAACTTGACTGTTGTGCTTTCATGTCTTTCGAGTATTTTTCTTCTGCTGTAGTGACACGGATGTCATATGCGGTTGTGAGGTGCCAAAAGGATCTTTAAGAAACAGCAAAAAAGCCTTGCGAAACCTGTTAGATATTAGAAAAAAACGTATTTATTGGTTAATCGTTATAAAATTTAACAGTCCTAAAGAAAATTCCTGAGGAAGATTGGAAAAGGTGAGTATGTGGGGGAGAGTCACCATGAAAAAAATGAGAATCATGTGCGTCATCTATGTGTCTCAGTATTCAATGAAAACAATAGCCTCTTTGAAAAGGTACGTTAATCTTGTTAGGTTTTGAACGATTAGTATCCCTAGGATAAAACAATAAAAAAAAAATCGCTCTTGATTTCTATGCGTGACAAATGATTTGCACTTCGCCCTCATCGACAATCACGCGGTAGAAATCTCGAGCACGCTTTTTATTATTATATCACGTGTTACACATCAATAGATAACTTTCCGGTTAGCAATACGCTCAGTTTGAATTAATTATCAGGGAAGTAAGAAGAAAAAGTTATAAGCAAGCATTTCAAAGACAACACAACAAAGTAAAATTTTTTTATGCAAAATCTAATCTCTTTCTCATTGTATAGTGAAAGTCAATTACAAGACAAAACCACCGCAGTGGGATATTTAAAAAGGAAGCGAGCTTACCTTCGAGTCCTTAACGAATAAATGATAGGATTAACCATGCTGTTCAAATCCATAAGAAAATACGCAAGGAAATTAAGCCAAGTTCCGTGCTTTCTTGCGACGCTGTGTAACGCCATTGGCAAAACACCAAGAATGAGGAAGGCTAATACAGTCAGGGCAATTGTCTTGGCCGTCTTAACATCACTTCTAACTTGCTTTAAATGTGGATAGAGTGTCGACAACCTCCTTCTATGGTTGCATACCGTGCGCCAAATCATGACTCCCAAAATAAGCATGATAGAGAATGGAACCAAATAACCAGGAACAATAAAATATCTTCCAAAGTTTTTTAAGTAGTGTATCCTGTACTCGAGCACAGGTGCATCTCCAATATCAAAGTTAAGCCCCAGTATAAACATGCCATACGTGTAAGCAGCCGCCAGAACCCAAACGAAGAGTACTGCTATTTTTCCCTTTTTTAACGTCTTCCACGAATGGTAGCGAAAGCCAAACACAATGGCCCCAAATCGGTCCAATGTAAGCACAGTGAGATTGACCACTGTCAGGTACATGAACAGCACATACCATGTCACTATGAACCAAGAAAGTGCACGACCCTTGAGGAAATACACCTTGCAAATGTACCACATGATGAAGAGAGGCATGTTAGTGAGTCCATTGAGGATGTCTATGATGGCCAAATTGACGATCAGGATATTTGGCACTGTACGCAACGTCTTGAACCGAATAAATAAAATACAAATTATGCCATTGCCAAAAATGCTTCCAATCATAGCCGTGGCAATCATCAAAGTTCTTGATATTAAGTCCGAACACTGACAAAACGTCACGACGATTGTCTCGTTCATTTCTTTATCTGCTCAATTGACTTCAGCCTTTGTCAATTTCGATCTGACACTGGGTAGAAGTTGAGCAATTGTCGTTTTGGTTCGTGTTCCACCTGGCTCGTGCACTTTTTATCACGCGAACGACACCATTTCTTCTACTGTTACATATGTCGAATGTGAAAACCATAGCCTTTAATTAACGCCATGCTCCGGCTAAAACTGAATACGTAAGACTTACGCCTTGCAATTAATCGTTCGTTTAGCACGATCATCATCGGACGAATCAGAGTAACCGTGGACTGCATGCATGGGATCACTGTATTCTTGTAAAGTGGCAAGTTTACAATTCATATGTGATAATCCAAGCGAAAGACAATTTTCATGATCGTGCATGAATATAATATCACGGCTATCATTTATATTCTGTTTCTCGTTTAAGCGTCCAATATCTCACGCGTTTGACATTGCTATTGTTGCTTGGTAAACAAAACAAATAACGATATTCATTTGGTCATTAAAATTTTCTTTACCATTGAGTATTTGTAAGTGGCATGCAACATATGAGCTAGTTAAGTAAAGTTGTTTTTACCGATGCCGGCAGCGGATATTAAAAAAGTGCTAAACGAAATTGGAAGTGACATTATTTGAATGAATGAACATTGTGTCTCTAAAGGACCAGCTAAATATTATTTTGTGATGAAGTACCCGCTTGGTTGACTCAGAGTTCGTTGGTTCGCGGTGTGTGATGGTTGACCAGTTAGCGCCACTCAGCAACAGTAAGATAATGAAGTGCTTTAGGGAAAAAGATATTGCTTGTCTAAGTATTTGGTGCTGTTTAGAAAGAGGGTGGGTATTTTTAAAAACAACTATCAGGAAAGACGTCAAATAAGCCTCTCCAAAGGCAAGAACGTGCTGACTACTGTAATTGTTGTTTTGACCGCAAAGTTTTCGTTATATTGCCTTGCCGCGTGGAAGTTATGGATTTTATTGTTATTTTACCGCACAAGAAGGCGTAATTTTCATCTGAATGGCCACTTCCGCCTTCGCCTGCCACTGGAATATTCTGGCTACCTCAAGGTGCATTAAGAACCTTACTAAAGTACACAAGATTTACCTCTTCCAAATAATGAGCCCCTGTTCTTGTGAGTCTCTTAGACTCAGGCATACCTTGGGAAACCGTAAGTAAAAAGTTTTCTTTTAAGTAAACACATGACCCAAGAGACACCTAAAGTATTTTGCTCAATTAATCTAAATCAAAGTGTGTGTTTATTAGGACTATTCCAGAAATACTGATAGGCATTCTACGCCATATAAGCGTATACTTCTTTTATGGATCAACACCTGTGTACTTATGTTACTTATGTTACACTTGTTTCAATATCTTTCAGATGTTTATTCTTTGATCTCCTTTGGTATTTCACTTGTTTATTCATTCCCCGACAATTTTAATTTACGGTAATTTTAACAGAGAAGGACGTTTGTTATGAGATAATTTTTTAAGTTCTGAGATGTTGATATCAAAGCGGTCATTTAGTTCCAGGTATTAGAGGTCTTTAGTAAGTGGCCAAGACACTTTGAGTTATTCAGCAAAAACGAGATGACGAAGTAGTGTACGAAAATAGAAATTAATTGTCTCAAGTATTTTGCGCTGTTTAGCCAGGAAAGACATCACACGCGCCTTCCCAACGATCAAAAAATCAACATACTTGGCTTTTTTATCTGAACAAGCAGGAGGAACTATTCAAGTGGTTGTTCACATTGAAAAATCCCCGTACACTACTCTGTAAGAGAGACTAGACACACATACAGTTAAGGGGGAATATTTTGGGGTGTTACAAAAAACAGAAAGAGCAAAGTTTACTTTGAAAGAATTTCAGTTTTAGAGTTGTTTTTGCTTCCGGAGAAAGAAATCAAAAGCTGAAAAAACTTCAGGTACCTTTGTAAATTAAATATGCTAGATTTGAAAAACGGCACGTCGACGTGTCTCAAGTTATTATTATCCATTTTTTTTTTTCAACTGATTGTAGTTGTATCACAACGGTTTTTCCTTAATTTTCATTCAGTGAAAAAAATAGCGCTTGAAGAGAATATTCAATCTTCTTTCTTGTTCAAAATAAAAAAAAATACAAAGTAATTTTTTTACAACTTGCAACGCAACAATTTAAATTCGCTTTTGACTGGTCAAATGTGACCGTTCCTCATACATGAATGGGCTTTCGTTCAATTATGAGAGCAGAAACAAATATTTCAGTCTACGTAAACACGAGATATTTCCTCAAAGTAAAGTGTGGTAAGTGTTTTTCCAGGTTTCACTCAACTATAACTGATGTAGATTGGCACTTTTCAACAACTACAACCTAAGTGCGTTTTCCCAATAAGGAAATTTCAATTTGCTAATGACAATTTTCTTTAAGAGTTACACTGAAATACAGGATGAACTCCATTACGTATCCATCTTTGAAGTTATTTTCGTGCAAACAAAAACAACCTTCAGAAATAAAATGCACATCGTCATGATTTGTCGACTGATAGTCAAATCAGTGAAGCTCACAACATTCAATTTTGACCGATTTTGCGTAATCCTGATTGACGGGAAAAGGACCCGAAAATGGGATAAAACAGTTGTTAAAAAAAAGGAACTTAAAACCTCTCAACAAAATTTAAATGTAACTTGTTCAATTTACGGTGAGTGTATTTTTTAAAAAATTCAAACAAGCGTTGCTCCTGTAAATCAGATATTAGTTGAAATTATGGCATTTCGACCAACCAAAGCTCGCTTGGATGCACAGTCTGCTTCTCCAGCCATGACTGTTGTCTTTCACTTTTTTTTTATTTTATTAATGACATCTGGAATCATAAAAATTTTAAATCCCTGATGATGTCGACTTTTAACTTCTCCCAACAATATTAGTGCTAAACATACTGCTTACCATCGGTAAATATGCTGCTTTGTTAGAGGGTGCAACTACACTGAACAAAGATGAGGCATTTGATGCGTCATTATGACTTCAAGATATCCTACAGAGCTACGGCAAGGTGCATCAGATATATTGCACGGGTTATTTCTGGCGCGCTTCAACTGAATATTTTTCTCTGAAAAGGCAAGCCATAATATGGTAGACTGCGTGATCTTATTAATGAATCTCCCCTCTTCCAAAAGAAACAAATTATTGGCAACACGCAGATGTTCCTAAACGGTCATACTTTTCTGACCTGACAAGTTTATTAGCCTTTTGTCTATTAAGTGCTACTCTGGCTATGGTTGTGTGTGTGTGGGTGTAGGGGGGTGGGGGGGCAGCCCAAATGACGCCCAATATAGTAAAAAGAGATTAATCTGGTGACCTCCTCTTTCCATCCTTCTATCAACAAGGGCCTGGTCCCATTCATCCTCAACGCGCGTCAATCCAGAAACATTATCGTTCACAGCTCTTTAGTGAGAGAGATTATTATTTAATTATGGAGTATATTCTATTAAGTAACTTATAATAGATGATAAATTTTGAGCTCTATTTCTTCGAAACCGGTTTCCACAGATGACAACTGCGACATTGCTGACCCGACCACCAGCTTGTTTCCATCTTTTATCACGTATGTACCTAATTAATTTGTAGCCTACTCTCAGATCAGCTCTCTGAGGCTCAATCGAAGACACCGGTCGGTCTTATGTTGGAATCCTAGAGGGCTGGAGTTATGTCTTTTCTTTGTCTCACGTTTATCACTTCTCAAAAATGTTTCGTTATTCGGTATTTCAGGTTTGTTGCAGGGCATGTGGGTGTACAGGGGAAGATCGATGCAAGGAAGTCTTAGGGTATGTTGTAATGCACACAAATACGTACAAATATCAAATCTATCAAGCAAACTACGATTGTACTGCTTCGCCATAGGAAAGGTCTTAATTTGAATATAATGCATAACACTGAGAACTGCTCTTTAGACGAGGGAATATTAGAGAATGTGCAAAGATTTACCTCTGGTTTCAATGGAGTACATGTCAAGTAAATTGCAGAATTGCAAACAAATTTTATGATTTGAAGTTATACATTGAACTCTTTCCAAACTCAGCTAATAGTAATGTGCAGGTGTAAATGTTGAGACATTTGAAGGTCATGAAAGCAGGGTACAATGGAGAGTACGCCCATACCTTCCGCGCTCTTTTCTTAACCTCCATCTTTCCTACTCATCTGCTCATCAGTTTTATGACCGACATAATCTGAAGTAAACATCTGAGATTGCTGACTTGATTTTATTGAAGTTGAATTGGCGATAAAAGCTAAGTGTCATGGCGAATGATGACATAGCGAACGATTCAAACGTGTATGGTGCGTTCTGTGGAGGCCATATAAAAGTTAAAGCACAGTTTTACCAAAATGTAAATTATATTTTGTATGTCTGGGATTGTATATACTACATATGTTTTCATTGCCGGGTTGAAACATAGTTTTATGCGACGTCTAATCACGCCCTTTTTACAAGGTTTTTCTTTTTTCTCTAGAGGTTAGTAAGATCTCATCTCTTTACCCGTGGTGGAAACAGGTGAGACCGATATATCATATTTTACGCAGCATGTCTATGTACTAAAACAAGCTACGAAATGTAAATCAAAAACAAATATTTATCGTAGCCCTCTGAGCAAACTGTGAACAGTAGCCAGTGTAATGCTGTTAGGAAATCATGTTAACTAACTTTAGTTGAAAAGTGCAACGTACCTAGTTACAGTACAGCGGCGTGGTTTAATTTGTATAATTTACCTTTGGCGTTATTTTTATGAAACTAGGACATGAAATTTTACCGAAAACTGCACATTTTCAAGAAAACCATCCTTGACAGCCTCTCTCACTCAAGGAAATAAAATTTAATGTCTCTGATACGAAAACCGACCTTTCAACAAACTTGAAGACTTACTGTCCACTACTTGTTTCATTTTGTCAACATTTTTCTCTAAAAATTTTATTCAATATTGCTTTTATTATACTACTTCCTCTTTCTACTACTTGAACTTTCTTCTGTCCCCATAGTGACCGTTGTGAATAAGTTTGATTGTGTCTTTCCATGATAAGTTTCCTGTTCTTGTTCTTCAACTGTTTTTGGTTTCTATACTAGCCCACTTAAATTTAAGAAACGGTGATTTGAAAGGTGTTGAGTCCCTCGTTCTTGTATTGCACATTTTTTCTTGAAGTTGATATCTGACCAGGTTCTGACTTGCCAAAAGGTTCTCTTAAGAACAACAAAAACGCTCTGCGAAACCTGTTGCAATGCAAAGCAAAATCAGAATAGGTAAGCTGATTGGTTGTCTACAACTAGTCTGCGATGGAACACAAGCAAAACAAAAATCCGGGCTTTTCAGAAAACTTCATCACAATATGTAACATGTGTCCATACGTAATCAGGTGTACCTCAGTTATGTAGAAAACGGAACTGAATTTTGCATCCTCAAGAATGTAATGAATCAAGTTGGAATGAAAGATTTTAATTCTCCCCTCTAGTGACTACAAAGTAGTGACGAAAATTTGGTATTAAATGAAGATAACATCTTCTAACTTGATAAGTTTGACTATTCTCTTTACATATTTGCATGATAATGTATGCATATTTTAGGACAAGTTACATGTCAATCACTTATGGGAGTTAAAGGGTTCACTGACACACGTGATCTTTAGTTCATGAAAGAAAAGGGTAGAATTTCCTTCTTTTATTCGTAAATTGTCGATAAACTAGGCAACGCAAAATTCTAATTTTCACGAAATGTAAACTTAACTGTAGAACCAAATTTTTCCTTTCCTACAACTTTAAAATGTAAATGTCATTAAGAATATTATCACTACATCAGTTAATGCTTTGATATACATTTGTACCCTAACAACCACAAGTGAAAATATTGAAAGAAATTACAAAATGTTGTTACTTTGATATTGAGAACCCAACCGCGAAAGATTACTTTTTGTCTTCTTGTACTTCAGTTCCAGTTTTTTAGAATTACTTCGCAAAAAAAAATGTGAACAATCACATGAGAAATGAAAAGGGATATCGGCAACCTCTCCTGGTCAAAATTTACATTTAAGAGAAAACAAATGAAATGCTTTGTTATTAGCCAATTATGGATAAGTTATTTTTATTTCAATGATAAATTTACAAATCGGGCAGCTTATATCATGGAACACTGCATTTTTATGCTCTCAGCTGTGCTTGATTTATCTCCGAACGAGTCCTACCGAAAAAAAAAGCATTCAAAAAAGCAAAACAGAAGCGCTCACCTCTGAGTATACAGTCCATATATAACTGGGTTCACCATGTTATTGAGGAGACTGAGAAAAAATGCAAGGAAGTGAGGCCATGTGCCGTGGATTTTGGAAAAGAAGTGCAAGAACATGGGTGCAACAACCATGCAAATGAACGCCGCAACAGTCAAACCGATTGTCTTGGCGGTCTTCACGTCACTTTTCACCTGCCTAGCCATAGGAAAAAACGGATACAAACGTCTTTTATGTCGGCGTACCGCACGCCAGATTAAGGCTCCCAAAATTAGCATGATCGCAAAGGGCACAAAATGGCCGAGAATGATGAAGGCCCTTCCAAAGCTCTTCAAGTACTGCTTTCTGTACTCCCAAACTGCAGCGCCACCAAGATCAATTTTGAGCCCTATTGGTATAAACATGCCATATGTATACGCAACCGCTAGAAGCCATGTAAAAAGTACAACTATTTTTGCCTTGTTGACTGTTTTCCAGGTGTGATAGCGGATGCCGTGAACGATGGCTCCAAATCGGTCCATTGTCAGTGCGATAAGATTGAATATGCTTAGATAAACAAACAGCACAAACCATGTAATGATAAAAAAAGAGGTAGGCCTACCTTTAAGGTAGGAAACATCACTGATGTACCACATTATAAACAGGGGCATGTTGGTCAAAGCGTTGAGGATGTCAACTACAGCCATGTGCGCGATCAGGATATTAGGGACTGTTCGCAAGGTCTTGAACCGGACAAGTAACAGACAAATCATACCGTTTCCTACTATGGAACCTACCATAACTAAGGCAATCATGAAAATTTGTATGATTCCTTCCGTCTCATGCGAAGTAAATGTCAGAGTTTCCATGTACGGTTTGGTCCATTACCTGTAAATAATCAATTTATTTGCCCAGTCGATTTCCCTTGCTTTATGGAAGACATGATGAGGAGCACGTTTTTCTCTCAACCCCACATGAAACGTTGAGACCAATATCACTACGAGTCTTCAATTTATACCAACTTCCAAAAGCTTAAGTGGGCCGCACCTCTCGATTGGCTATTTGCGTAGGAGACTTAAATTAGCCCGATGGCGACACGCAAACTAAATCAAATTAAAATCGTTTTCACTGACCATTCTGGTAAAAGTCAAAAGTTGTGATACGTTGTCTGGGAAACGAAGTGTTCACTTCATTTTTCGTCATCATTTCTAACATCACCTCTCGTTGTATAGCTTTGCAGTAACGGGAGCAACTTTAAACATGTTAGAAAGTTCTACTTGACTATTGCACCTTGTGGATGATGATAGAGACTTGAGTCGTTACCGGAACTAAAACTTGGAACTAGTGCGAGCTATACTTCGCCAGTTCGGAACGTGTACGAAATTTGTTAGTGGGCTTATTAAACGGTGATTGCTATTGGCGTAAATAAAACATGCTTTGACTCTTTGAAGTAATGTTTGATATACAAGAGGACGGGTGCTTCGCGAAGCATTAAAAAAGCTTCTGTCAGAATGACTTCCTGAATTTCAGCCGGACTCGTTTGCTCGGCCGTTTCCCGTAATAAAATTCGTATATTGTGTTCAACTATTATGAGTCAATATATTTTAAAATTAGCACGCCAAAGAAAGCCGTTAGTCTCTTTTTCGTCAGGCGAAGAAAAAAGAACTCCTCGAAAATTCGACCCCTAGACTTTCGGATATCGTTGTTCGATGTTCTATACTTCTCCGCCACAATGACTCCGTTTGCAAACCAGGAAACGTACTAAGTTCATTTCGCCAATTAATTATTTTAAAACAGAGAGGGGTCATTTTTTATGCTCTTTTTCCTCTAAGACAGACTAGTATCGTATTACCCCTATACAAAATCACTTCCGAGTCGAACATCAAGGTCATGGGAATAACGGAAATGATCGCCAACTAAAGAGCTTTTGATTGTTCAACAAATTCACGTCTTCGTTATCATAGGAAATGTATGGAGAACAGTACGGAGAATATGCATTGCATACCGAAGTTATTGTGTGAAGAGATAAGGTTTTTTTTATCTCTCAGTCTTAATCTACACTGAGCATCGCACACAGCTCTTTCTATGATTGACTACTTCACCCAACACTTTCTCTTGTGTACAAATTTTATTCAGTAAATAACTGTGTTCCCACTTGCAAATGTTCAAATAATGATTACGATTAATGGATAAACAAATGTAAAGACAATTTTTACATAAAGTAAAAATCAAACTAGTTTTGTTTTGACTAAGATGAGAGGAGAAGTTGAACTAACGACTAGCGAGAAACGAAATCACTTGAGACGTATAATGCAAGATTTGAACTGACTTTGTTCCCCTACTTTCGATATCAGTTCCCTAACCTATGCAACCACTCCGCCTCATCCAAGACGGTACAATGAATCGCTGTGGTTTGAATGGTTTTTTTAAAAGATCTTGCTGTTTTGTTGCCCTATTGGAGATCATGCGACGGTGTTATTGGGATTATTTAATTTTCTAATGATAATTTTCTGACCAAGAAGCAACAACCTTCCTCAGGATTTCAAGTGATCTTTCTAGGGAGAAAATCATGCAGCAGGAATAAAGTCCATAGGTAAATATCGGGAAGATGATTATTCCTTTTTGCGCGCGTTGATTGGCTGGTTCAGAAGTGATGAGCAAGTACTTTACACCTCCAAGCACACAGAGAAACAAAATCTTTATATTGACTGAAATAACCTAATTTTTTGGTTTTTCTATTGTATATACTAAAAAACTTACTGACCTCTCATACAGACAACTCATTCATCGTTTCTCACAAACATGTATGATAATCAGTGACTCCAAAAAGCTTCAGAGTTAGGCAGGATGATTTGACCCAATTTAGTCAGTAGTGAATAAGAGGACAGTGACATTTCTTAATACGAAGCGATAGCATGAAGAAGCAAATCTCGAGAGGTGGCAGAAATTAATTATCCGTCGTTTATTCTAGGACAAGAGCACTAATTAGTGAGCAGAAAGGAAACAAAAACAACAGATTTAGAAAAGGCTCGTCACTCGAAATTTTTTATTCATATAAGGAGGTTCCTGTGATTGCAAATATCTGTTTCGAATAAGGAAACAGTTTTCTACCATAAATTTCGTTTGTACCTCTGATACATTTCCCAAAACTGAGAGAGTGTGCTTCAAATTGAAACGGAAGTGAAACAACGAAAGAAATAAACCTAACCACCGGCAACATCGACGCATCGGAAATTACGCAGTAAAACACCAAGAGTAACCTCCGGCCACAAGCACATGTATCAGTAAAATGAAGAGCTCCTCACGTTCCATTTGAACAAATAATTTCCAGTCAATGAGTACATTCATCTGTTACTCAATTTCCTTTTTTTAAACCGAATAGACCCAACTGTCGTGTGACCAGCTCAAAAGCCATTTGATACATAAGTGAGCATACGGTACTCCTACGGCAACAAAAAGCGGCAAAAAAGAAGAATTTACTTTTGCAGGCTTGCCATGATACTTAAAGCATTCCAATAGCAAGGATAGCACTTTTGCAATCACTCATTTTGATTGGGCGTACTGTAGACTGAAGGCAGACGGAAAGATTTTAAGTTTTGTGCATGGAGTGAACGTCATAATCAATCTCTCTGATAACAATTCGTTAGTTAAGATGCATGTCTCCTATGGCATGCAATTTCCTGGATTTTGAAAAAGCAATCGACGTGAAGGATACCAACTTTCACGTACGGTAGCGTGTCGGAGAATGCTATGTCGGTTCATTAAAAGTTTCCTTTCATACCGCAAAGTGGAAACAGAGTCCTAATCTACATTAGTATGGTTTCCTGTATTTGTGATGTAACTTCCTATTTTCTTGAGGGTGAACACCAAGCAGCGATTGCGTAATTTTCACGGTTATACGAGTACTTTCATCGATTGGATGTTTTGCCTCCTGATAATACATTGAATTATCAAAAGAAATGGTCTGAAAGTTTTCAACTTTCAACCAACCTCTTTAACAGAACTGTAGTGAGAAGTGTATCGAGCGTTACTGAATTAGGCTAATCATTTATCAAGATGCAGAAAATGTGAAACAGTTCCTAAGATCCTTTACCGCACAGACCTGCAGGTTTTAAATTTGTACTTTTTAAGAAGTAGGATGAATTGAAGGCACGTGCACAGGTTTCAGTTCCCTTAGAAATAAGCAACGATATTTAATCGTTCACCATTAGAGGGCTTTTTGAAGTTGCCACTGGAGGTTCTATCAAATGGCAAGATCACGTACTATTTGAACACTCTATTTTCCAGTCATTGAGTACATTCTTCTCTGACCCCATAACGTTTTCTTTCATCCAATTAAACCTAACTTACGTGTAACCTACCCGGCAGCCATTTGTAGTAATGAGTACGCGGCACACTTACGGCGAAAAAATACTTTACTTTTGCAGGCATTTACCATGAAAAGCAAGATTATCAACGTTATGGTCACATATTTTAATTGGGTGTACTCGAGGCTGAAGGCAGAGGGAAAGATTTCGTTTTCCTTACTCTTTGAACGTCATCCCATGCGTTTATGCAATTTCCTAGATTTTGAAAAAGCGTTCGACGTAAAGGATACATTTTCACTTACGAGAGCGTGTCGAAAAATGCTCTGTTTATTACAAGTTTCCTTTCATTTCGCAAAGTGGAAATAGACTCCTAATCTACTTTAGTATGGATCGCTTTCTTCGTGATGTGACCTACAATATCCCCAGGGGTGAATACCGAACAGCGATTGTGTAATTTTCTCTGTCGTAGAGGTGCTTTTAATTAGATTTGTAATCTATCCTAATTGTATCTTGAATGCTCAAAAGTTAAGATCCAAAGATTTCGACTTTTAACCAACTCCCTTAAACAGAATTGTATCGATTGGCACGTGATGTGGTGATCTGAAAGTGTATCGGATGATGACTTTTGACATGCAAATACCAGTGTTAAAACTTAAATCATACTCATATCAAACACGTTCAAACTCTTATTTGAAACTTAAAGGTTTAATACAAACAGTTCCCCTTAAAACGAGAAAAGATTGAAACAATTCATTTGTTAACCTAATAACATCCATTCAGTTCTTTGCTCAAATTCTTCCACTGATGAAAAATAAATAGGTCATTACTCATAGTAAATAATTTTTAACGCAACCTTGCAGTCTTTAAAAATACCTTCTTCCCTTAAAAATTATCAAACATATCACAACGTTCCTCATTCAAACCTAAGATATGATTATCAGTCTTCATCAAAATCTAACATAGGTCAACCAGTCTTCGTATTCACTTGCATTCACAGCGCCTCACTTAATGACATCTTAGGACTTGTATTACAGCTCTGAGCTGGCACTTTATGATACTGATCTGGTGCCTCGTCCCCTAGAGGGTGCACATCCAATTGTATCTGCATCTATTGATTTAATTTTCATCACAACTCCGCAATTTTCATCGACACTTTCATCCCGAAGCAATGACAGTAGTTCTGCTTGTCTTGGGTGTTGGTAGATTGTATTTGAGACGAATTTGTTGTCGGAGAAGTTTTCTTTGTTGCTTCTCCAGTTTAGCCTGCTTTTTGTCATGTTCATTCCAAACATATGTTCTCGCGGTGTAATCTCTGTTTTTCAGATTGTACTTTTTCTTAACATCATCAATACGTTGTTTGCTTTCCACAGCTCGTTTCTCGTATTCTTTTGTGTTCTTCCTCACAGCTCTAATTTCGTTGCCAGTCGTTGGCACTGAGAGACGCTTTCCCAACATCTCACGGTTATTTCGTTGCTTGCTGTCTGTATTCCTGAAAAAGTTAACAATATAACAAGTAAGAATCTAATGAAAGATTTCCTTAAAGAAAGATAAATTGAGAATAAATCAAGGAAATGCTAACTTAAACTTTTAAACGGGTAGTATAGGTAAGGTATGCGTATGTACTAATTTGCGGCCGTTTTACCTTCATTGCAGCCGTTTTATCTTCAGTGCAATTATTGGAAACAAAGTCAACTTTGAATGCCAAAACAGCGAAGGCAAAGTTATGAAATTCTTAGCGATTCTCTTTTTCACTGGTTTGGTTCATTTTTCATAGCCATAGGACTTTCCTATATGTTTAGAAACTTTAAGAATAGTTTTAGTATTTTCTACGGAGTTCACTAGTAAATAAGTCGTAGAAATATTAACTGTGGAATTCAGCATCAATATCACGCTCTGCTGGAGTCGTAGGAGGAGGTTATGAGGAAAATAAAGCATTCCTATATATGGGCATCACGAATTACCAGTGAAACAAAAGAAATGTTTGATACCATCTTTATAATCAGCTATGAGTCATCTGTTCAACGATTGTCTAAATTAATATTATACCAAGTTTGTAGGATCTTTTGAAATAAAATTTCACGTTCAATTTATAAAATGTTAACAAATTTCTTAAGAGTGTTGACAACATACTTGCCGTCTTAAATTGAAAGTTGCGTGTAGTTCAGACAAAGGCAAACCCGCAGGACATTTCGATCTGGAGAAATTTGCATCACAAAGCGCAAGTATAGGGTCTGCATTTGTGTATCGGCAGGAAAATTATTTACAAATTATCAGAGAGGCGATCGTTTATTTGCCAGAGGTCCTTTTAATACGAGATTGGCGGATTTAGAAAAGTATGAAAAGAAGATATATTTTACCTGATCAAAACAATAATAGATGAAACAGCAAGGAAAGCGTAGTTTGAGGGCGAAAACGTGAGATCTGTCACGACACGAGACCGGAAACTGAAATAAATGTAAATCCTGGTGGACACAGCCAAAAAAAATTAACGATTGTTGAATTAGCTTTATGTGATGTTTGAACATCAAGAAAACAGGACGTGTTCAAAAGAACAAAAATGTCAAGTTCCAAACAAAAGGAAAGTGTACAAAGAACTTTTACAACTGATTAGCTGTAAACGGTGACAATCGATAGCACAAAAGCCACACTACGTTAGCGAAATATATTGAATGCACATGGAATCCATGTTTCAGGATATTTCTTGCAGAATAAAAAAATGGCTTATTGGCAATCACGTTCTCAGTTTTGGTCAATTCAGACGTCCTTTTGCCATATCATTCTTAAACTCCCTAGAATAGAGTTCTGTGAGGTTTAGCGAATGATAATTTGTTTTGACGAACTTGCCGCTGGCGCTGAATAATAAGGATGTTGATAAAAATCTTAGCAGTCTCGGTCGGATGCTTTTCCGTTGTTTCATTTTGGAACTATCTAGAATCAAGTTCTGGAACGTTCGGAGGGAAATAATTTTTTTTGACGAGCTTGCCCCAAGCGCTGAATGATAAGGTCTTAACATAACAATGCGGTTGGAAAAAACGGGGATGGATTATTTCAAGCAATAGTCGTTCAGTCAAGAGAGTGTCGACAGTCTGCCTTGATTTTAAAAAGTTACAGAATATTCGAATATGAACAATCTGGCTGACTGTGTATTCTCTGGTGACAGATTTTTTTGTTTAGCGTGCATAATCGTTCATGTAATCTGCGTGTGTTTAGCTGCTAGTCCTGCAAATCTAAGAATTCTGCATTTTAATACTTTGAAGAAACATTAAGGCCTTATACAGACTTCTAACAAACATTTAGCGTCTGTTAAACGAATGCTCGTGAGATATTTGTCGATATCACTTACCACGTGAACCAGTAGCCATCGAGGGGAGTTAATAACTTTCAAAGCTACTCAGCATGCTTACACAGCAAGAATTTACTATTTTCGGACACTCGAATAAAGAAAAATCAAAGAAAACCTAGCCGTTATTCATAAGATGTCTTAAAGACCCGTTAGCCTGGCATTAAACTGATCTGTTCCATAAGCTTATTTACGGCTCCCTTTAAGTGGTTTAAGAGTTGTTTATCAAACGCGCGCAGATCGCGGACAAGATAGAGAAATGTACGCGTTCGACTTATCAACCTCAGTCTTAGGAAGTTACTTCCTTACCTGTCCTGTTCATTTAAGACATTGTTGTTTCTCTTCCAGTCCAGATAAGTAACGTCATCGAGCAGAGCTCCTTCGCTCAAACTCTTTTTCCTCTCCACGAGATATTCGTGATATTCAGGGGCATCCAGATCGATAACGTAATCATCAGCCCTAAGCTCCGTGTCTGAATCCGAAGAAGTCCCAACAGAAGGCTCTTCTGCCTCGACCGGTGGTGTGTCTACAAAATTTCCCATCGCGCTGAAGTCAGCGTTCAAAGTATTCAAGTTGTGTCTGATTGAGTAAACTCACGGGGTCCACATATTTATACAGTCAGGAGCCTCGCCTTTGTTTTCGTTACCCACGTAGACCAGCTAAGTGCTAAATTTGTCTCAGGCAAATCCGAATGCTGATTGGCTGGCATGCGACCCGAACTAAGTCCGAGGTCAATAGAAACGTGAGCACGCCGGCGATCACGTTCATTTGCGACAGGAAAGCTTGAACGGGACGTAGGTCAATCGCTTAATCCCTTTCAATGAAAATTGAGCGCGAAACCACACATTATGAAGAGTAAATAACGCGTATAGATATGGGCAACATGATCGGAATTTGTTCAAAATGCAAGTGCAAAAATCAAATTGGTTAAATAAAAGAGATGCGTCACTCTAATGAGCTGGTTGAGTGTTCCACTCAATTGAACAATACAGATCTTATTTAGCTATCGAGTTACTATAAACAACGAGAACACAGCTTAAGTGCCTTACGTCTCTTTTAGTAGTGAACGTTCTAATTTTCATAATCTCCAGTAACAACAGATAAAAATACCGTTCGAAAAAACAACGGAATATTCTCCATTTTTCCAGATTCGGGTGATTCGCATCGAACCATCAAATGACGAGCAAAGTCATTGTTTACTGATTACCGAGAAAGTCGAAAAAATTTTTCCTCCTCTAAATATGTCTCTCTTGTTTCTCCTGTCTATTTTTGCTTTTTATTTCCATGCTGATCCGCGTAGACTCATGCGGCCATAAAATAAGAATCTAGTCATCAACTGTCGACTCTGGATTCATGGCAAATTGGGTTAAAGCGCTAGGCAATAACTAATATATCCAAAAATGGAAGAACTGGAAATCATTTGATACTTAAGACTTATCCAGATGTTTATCGATGGAACGATTCTGTTTACCGGCGCAAATCTCACGATACACGAGCTTCATATACGGATGTTGGCTGCACCCAAATGCGCCAAGTCTGCAACAACAAGATAAGAAAAAAAAATTAAAGAAAAACATTGATTATGGAAAACTAACCGAAAAACCTGCCTTCAACGTAAAAGAACAAGAGTTTTATTCGCAAAGGAAAAAGGGTCTGTCTCACCGACAATGGTCGAGGAAGAGTCCGTTTGAACGATTTTGACTCCACTGTTACCTGCTAAGAGGCGTGGAAGAAGCATTTGCCCAGTGTCCAGATTACACCAAGGTTTGAGACCGTCAGTATTTCACCTCGGGAGATTTCAAAGCTACTTCTTGATGAGGGACCCTATTTCTTAACGACTCAACTTTGTATTTTTCCACAAGAAGAAAAACGTCTCTTTCTAAGTTTTCACGGAAGTAGAAGTCCGTGATACCAAACAAAGATCGAGAATACTGCTTTTTTCTTATTATTATTTCTCTTATTCAATCCAAGAGCTAAACTTGTTGATGATTTCCCAACATCAAGCTCTTCGCCTCGTCAGGTTTGCCAGCCGTAATTGCTTCCAAAACTGCAAAATCATTAAATAATAGCCATTAGTTTTGATTATTCACGCGATGTTGCAAGTCCTCTGTTTAATTTGCCACAAAGAGACAGTTTGCGAAACTCTGGGTTTAAGTTTCTCCCACGTGTACCACCACCTTGACGCTGGTTTAGTCTTGGGGCTTAAAGTTATTTCACGTAGGTATTAATACGATCTGGCTGTTAAATTCCGAAAGAATGCGTTGACGAGCCCGAACCTCCAAATTACTTATCTACACCATGATGTCGCAAGTGACCGCAATGCTTTAAGTAATCCATTACTGTAAGGATATGATATGGTGTGAAAAAGCTGAACAGTTTTGGTACTCAGTGTTCAATAGAAATAACCTCGTAATTAATTTCAGTATATTTAATTCAAATATTGCGATTGTTCTGATCAAAGTCGACATCTTTATCGTGGATTATCGAAAACAAAGAGAGGTCCGCGAAGTAACAGAGGTACTCTCTGGGGGAGCAAACTCTCGCAGCACCAGGAAAGGCTTGCAGATGCTTTTCTCGAAAATAATCAAGATAACCAAGAAATCTCTAGACATACTCAACCTTTAAAGTGGATTTAACAAAATGTTCATATGGATCATCCGGATTTGGAACAGGATAACTTCAGTGAGGGGTGTGTGAGAATCACAGCATTAGATTAATTTCCATGGAAACCGAAAAACAAAAACATAACTCGTCCCATCCGGACCACCATACAGTGACGTCACCAACACTGATACTGTAGTATTTCTATACGTCATCAAGTTAATTCAGCCTTCCCGTGAAGAGATATCTGATTTTTTTTCAAATCTGGGAGGACATAAAATTTTTTATGAACATTTCTCCATGATCTGAGTTTTTGCGAGCCTTTTCTTAAATTCTTAAATCGTTTATTTTACATGAGTTTGTTTTCGTTAAGCGATGTTTATCACATTGTAGTTTTTCTCTGCATTTCATTTCAATTTTGTGTCTCAGTGAGAGTCGAAAATGTTTCGTTACGTCAATCTTCGAGCTAAAGTTATTTCAAGTCCGTCATAAACTGAAACAGGGAAAAAATTTCGGTTCCAAAGACATGAAAACTGGCCTGTCGATTCAACCTACAGTATTGTGTTTCAAGGAAATGACTTCAATGTCACCAAAATATGGAATCACCTTACATGGCAAAAACCGTGCTAAAAAGCTTGTAAAGTAATGGGGATTTCAATCACACTGAGAAGTATGTTTCCACGAAACCAAAAAAAATTCGAAGTTAAGGCAGTATACTTGATTTTGACAAATATCGGAGCAAAAGAGACGAAAGCAGTGGAAACCTTTTGTTTCTATATAGATTAAGGCCAACTTAGGAGCACCTCAAAACTACAAATTACTTCACAGTTACAACCGTATCAGAAATTACATTACACGAAACAATCGCAGTAATAAATCTATTCAGTAAAACCATTTAATACAGGGTTTTAGAAAAAAAAAAACCCAGATATTCCAGAATTTGAGGCAAACCTTCTAATGATCATGGTAGCTCGGTTGTAAATCTTTTGTGGTAGACAAACAGAGATGGAGTGGAGAGGAAACGCGACTTGGGGTCGATAGCGTAAGGTAAACAGCTGAATTCAATCTCCATGGAAACCAAATACACAAAACACAAACTTTCCCGGTCCAAGATAGAGTGTTGAGTATGAAATGTCGAGCAGTGATACTGTAGCAAAATTAACCTGCATAAAGCATTCCTAAGGAAATTTGCTCGTTAAGAGTGTATATATATGTTAGCGCTAATTTTAGTGGATATGTATTAGTGCGTGAGACCTTTACTTGCGGCATTTCAACGGGTTTGGAAAACTCTGAAAATTCTTTGTAGAAATAACGTTTAGCAAATTTATCATTTCATCAGGGAGTTGGCTAAGATGTTTTTCACATGTCAGTAGATTGAGTCGTGACAAAACGATATGCCAAGAGTGCTAACTTAGTTAAATGTGCGTTCAACCCTGCACAAATCAAAGGAGTTCATAGCAATATCAACACATATTAAGCTGTCAACATTTCTAAAAGTAGACAAAAGAAACAAGGAAGTACTTAGTCGTATCTTTCCGTTCAAAGGAAGCTCATTTGTACCCAGAACTTACGCAAGTGTTAATTCTGAAAAACCAGGTTGGCAAACTTTATGCGACACGATACTAGCGAGTAAAAGCTTTTATCCGATGTTTTAGCTCACTTCCTTCAGACAACGGGAAAGATTACTCTTGAATTCGTTTATCAAAGCATATCGAACACGTATTCGGAAATGGAAAAAAGAGCAAAAGAGAAATAAAGAAATTCTCTAACGTCATCTCAGCAAATATCCAGTTTAGAAATCAGGATTCAATGGATGCGAAATTCCTCAATATTTTTTGTAAAAAGTATATTTTTAAACTTTTCGTTTGTTTTTTTTCCTCATTCGCATTGAAATACGCTAAAAAAAATTTCTTTCTTATCTTTGCGCCCAGTTCCGCTTGTCTGTATCGCGATTTGATAAAACTTAATTATAAAGTGAACAAAGGATGTAAGTTTGTGAAGAAACTGTCGGATCCTGGGCAGGTGGGGGGTATCAAAAGGTTCTCTGGTTTTACTAACGGTAGTGATAATATAAATAGGCCAGAGTAAAGAGTTCCTAAAGCTGAAGCTTCGAGCGTCAGCCCTCTGCTCTGAAGCGGTGCTGACGGTCTATTTTTAACTATTGCATTTATGATGCGTCATTTGGACGAACAAACTTTCTTTAACCAGGTAACACTGAATTCAAACGCGACTCTATGCGCGAGCTTTGCTCAGGCTGAGCGGGCTCATTCGGAACGACTACCTCTCTTTCCACTCGAAAAGGACGTATTATGAGAATCTTCAATCCAGTCAAATCATTAGAGAATAACACACACGAACCTCTCTGAATCAATAAACCAACTTTACCAACTTCGTCAACTTAAAACAAGGATACAACTGGTAGGTATCAATATCAGCTGCCCCCAGTGAAGGCATTTGTGGGCAGTAAGCCTAGGCCTCAAGGGTCCTTGAATAATAGCTAAGATCAACTATCCTATAGGAAACACACTTGTGAATTGGAGTCCAGCGTAAAACAAAAGAGAAAGATCTGATAGAAAAGCACAAGAAAGGAATACCACACCTCAAAAGACAAACTGCACGAAAAAGATTAGTAAAAATGGAAAGGATATTGCACGATCGAAAATTCAACGAAAAATAACTATTCAAACCTTCGGCTAGATATCAAGTACCCTCTTCCCCTGCATTATACTTCATTCCACAACAATCCTTAGAGAAACCTAGCTCTTTAGATGGGATTTATTCCAACTATCAACTTCAGTATTGACCACAAGTATCATTTGGTTCGTACATTAAATGCAAACTTCATACTCGACTGAGTCAGTTTCATATACTTTATACTCGACATTATGTTATAAGTTTCTGTTTTCCAGTGGAATTTTGTTAATAAGGACACTTCATTTATTTTGCTCAGAGGATAAATCTCATTTATCGTTGTGTGGGGTTTATACGGGTCGAGTTCCCTGCTATATTAAGTTCCATGGAAACCGAAACTCAGAAATACACTCCTATTTTCAAGGACAACCACCATGTTGAGTGACGTCATAAGCAAGATCTTTATCATGCTGTACCATAATGATACTGCAGAACTGAAAAAAAACTCAAACTGCCAACATAAATGCATTTCATATATATGTAGTTAGTTTATGCTTTTTGCGCTGTCACTAAGCGACTTAAATAAACATATTCAGTAGAAAACCAATCACATTTGCTCGGGAAATTGTAAGCTTCACTGATTTTGGTTGATATGGCGAAGACAGAAGAGGTCAGCACATAATTGCAAGCTGCATATTTAAAGTATAAGAAGAGCGTGTGAAGTGCTCGCTGTTGACCTTTGCTAAAGTACGAATGCATGATCTACGACGAAATTTCATAAGAACACCGAGTCAGTTAAGCGAACTATCCTGGAGCTGAAATGAAAAACTGATCGATAGGCCGCCCCGATTTGCACAAACTCAACTGGAAATCGATAGAGAGTGAGTTTACATATAAAGCATACATTTCATACTTCAAAATTCGAAAGCGGAAATTTTTCAAGGTGGAATTTAAAATAGATCTCTCGTTCCCACGCCGAATGACTCATTATCGTTAGACAATGGTTCTAAAATAGGGTCTCAGTGCGGTTAACTGCTAGCCGTAAAATGGCCAAAACATTCAGCCTTAAGGCGTAAAAATTGACAAGTTTTAGCCGTTAACCATAAAAAAGGTTTGTGGTGACAACAATGGAAAGATATTAAAAGTTAGCCGTAAATCGGCCAAAATTGTAACCGTTAGTCGTAAAAGCCATCCACCCACTGAGACCGTCTACAAGTGTTTCGCACGTATTCAATGTTATTCATTGGAATTAGGAACTCTAAATAAACTAGTAGACCTTTGAAGCTATGAAATCGCATCCTCTACTTTTGCGGAAGTCGAAAAATGAAGTTTTACATATCCAATAGTCCCATTTGAATTCCTACGCGCCGCAAAAACTGAAAATTTTTCCGTGGCTGCCTGAAAATATATAGCATGATATAGCCTGAGGCTGTACTGGCACGGTAAGTTTCGCATCTATACTTGTATTGTACGACTCTACGAATATTGTGCTAGGTTTGCAAAGATTGACGAGAGAAAAGATCGCAAAACAGACAATGGTTCAAACAAAACCGCCGCTTGAAAATAGTTGTTGAAATGTCTGTTTCAGGTCAAAACCTAAATATCTTAGAACACCTCTACAGCTATGTGATGACAGCTAGATTAGCTATCGAGTAATATGGAATCTGTTACACGCAATGTTGTTAACGCAAAGTCAGGAATGGGACGTGATCCCGTGTATCTGGCCAAAGAAATAAAAATGTGACAAAGCAACAAGGACTATCTGCAGTTCGACGAAACGAAAACACTTCCTTGACGACTGAAAGCAAAAATAAGTAAAAGGAAGAAATGAAATACTTCCGACATTATCTTAACCAACATAGTGACCTTCCCCGTCGCCATACAAGTCTATAAGTACAGATGAGAGAACAGATGCAAGCTCACGCAATCTCTGTTCGCATGTAAAATAAGGTTTGTTTTTGAAGATTATACGAATGTGTGAAAAAATTGTTGTGTTGTTTGTCATAAAGCAAATAAGGCAGCCTCGACTGTGCTTTGTTCAGTTTTAAAGCAAGCAGGAAGCAGCTAGAGCTACAAAGAGGTATAAAAAACACTTGACTACGTCTCATGTTTCCCCCTACACTGCTTCATTGCTCTAGCCACTTCCTGCTTGCTCCACTACAGAAACAAGCACAGTCCAGGCTACTTTTTTGGTCGATTTGCTAGCTAATAAGTCTCGATATGCTGAACGTGGTCCCTGAGATCGACGTGGCACTATCTTGTGGAACAGGCGCCAATTTGAGAGATACGCCCAAGAGACACTCCCAAGTGTAGGTTATTTTGGTCGCGCTCCTCCTCTTCCGCAGGTCTTATGTTTTCCTCTGCTCGCCTGGAAAATACAAAAATTCCGTCGCCTGTTCCCTAAGGCAAATGTGCTACATTTCACCGTCTTAGACAAGGCAACATGGTGAATGGATTTTTTTTTCAACAACAACTGACCAAAGGTTAGAGCGGCACCTCGCTCTCTCGGGGGTGGACGAGAACATCGAACAAACTTTCAAACAAGATGGAAAATTTCGAATAAATTGATAGAGGAAGATGCTTATTCGTCTTGTCTCTATCTTGCTCTGTATTTCTTTTTTAATGGAAGCTTTGGCGGATCTACGGCATCTTCTGTTCTCGCTACTTCTCATTGGCAATTTTCTATATTGCGTAAGGGTACGTCACGCGCTATTGGATGGAGATAGTAGAATTAAAGTTCTCTAAATTTTATAGAATAAAAACGACATGCCACGGGGTAGTCCTAAGGAGCCTTTGATTTTCCTCGCTACGAGAAAAACGGAATTTGAGCTCATTCATTTTGCACAAACGCGTGTATCCGCGTAATTCTGCGTGTAACGCGACGCAATTTAATTTGTAGGACGAAAATCACTGGGAACAAGCTAGAGGTAAATTCAACATGGCGACGTAAACATCGAGACTCAAGAACGATGGAGATAACTGCATACTTTGACACCAAAGAATCCAAAAAACGGTACCTGAAGCATAAATTACATTTCAGCATATCTGACTCTTTTATGGAGTTTTTTAATGGAAAAATAGAGTCCAGCAAAGCGGCTGAAAAACTCAATGGAGACCAATTTTGACGTTCAGGTCAACCGTGAAAGGTAAGGAATGAACCTTGAAAAAATGCTTTAACGACCATTTTAAGTCAATGTCACGCTCTTTGTTATATTAAATTTCGATTTGAACAGGTAAACTGGTTAAAGTACATGCATATCCTCTGAGAACACTTTATCTGCAAAATGTGCGGGTGTCATCATCATCATTTTGATTTGGTTTCAGTGAGGCATTTCTCTTTTCCCCTTTTTTCCCACGAATTCCCACTTGCATGAGGACGAAACTCCCTTCCAGCCATTTATATTGGTTAATGGTACTCTGCACCTAACTTCTGACCTGCAGTGTACATGTAGATCGGAAGTATCTTAGATTGGCCAGCAGATTGTTGCAATCGATTTTTTTATCCTCCATTCAGAATTTTGAAAGGCACTAAATACTGTTTTATGTGAGAGATTTGAAAATGATGCCAGTGGTTTGCGTGGTTTCCGCTGTACAAATTTGGAATTATATTGGTCAAGGTGTTCTTTATGCTATAAAAATCATAGAATTCACTCCAGCTATTATGAAGTTTTCTCTGGCTTTATTTTGATTGCCTGATCTAATTTTCAGTTAGGACAAGTAAACTGCCTTTGTTTTCTAATTTGAATAGTCTAGTTAGTGGATTAAATCTCTGCCCTTTAATTGGCTAGATTTACTTTTTTGTAATGCAAGTTTACTTTGTTCCACTTTGCAACACATTTTCTGGGGCACACTAACCCTTACAAAAATATAAAATACAAAGTTTTCTTTCTTGCTCATTATTACACACAGCCATGTTCAATCATTCAACTGTTTGAACATCATTGGTTGTCCTACATATGAGCAAAAAAGTAGGATTCTCTCAGGCCTCGCTCAAATGGAAAAAGGCCCCACCAAAATTGTAGAAGTCCTTGCTGAAGGCAATGTGAAGATAAGCTGTTGGGGTGTGATAAAATTCTTGCAAATATTTCAAGAGATGCACTCACCAAAGAATTCAGCCAGAAGTGGATATCCACCTGGGATGCAACAATGAGTAGACTTAATTACAGCTCACCAGAAGGACCCTTCTTTGATTTGGGTTCAGTTAATGGAGCAAAAGGTCAGACACATGCAACAAAAGCTTGTTTGGGTGCAATCAGGAACAAAGTGCCACTAAATTGATGAAGGTCATGACCAACGCTTGCTTGTTTTCCATATTTCTCTCAAAGCCATAACATGTCATAAATTACTGTGTAAAATTATTCCACTGAAATTTTTATCAGCAAATATAGTTTGTTGCCACATTTAAGACCCACATGTACTAAGCAATAATTGGCTGGCTGTAAATCTCCCACAGGAACCTTATGTGAGAAAAGATACCCTGAATTTCTGAAGATGAAAATCATTTTATGTCAACCAAAAAAGTATGGTGTAAACTAGCATAGTCACTAGTAGGTGTGACACCATCATCACCTCACTCAGTCCAGTGTCTGTATTCTGCCATAGATCTTAACTTTGGAAAATAATGAAACGATGTTCATGTACATGTAACCACAAACACAAAGCTATTATTATAATAGTCACTGTATTAAACTGTACATTCACCAAAAAAAAAGATTTTAAACATATTTGGCCTCTGGAGCCAAGAATTACTGTCTGTTATCCATACTAGAGAGGGTCCATATTGAAAAATATTTTTTGTCTGACTGACTGACTTAATGTCTAATCCTATGGACTTATGGGCTGTACTAAATGATGCACAGACTGTCTGACTTTTGAATGGAGTGGCTGACTGACAGGCAGACTGACAGACTAACAAAGTGACTGACTAGCTTACCAATTAACATGCTTATAGACTGACCAAATTATTGAGTGACCCATTGACTGACTGACTAACTGAGTGATTGCCTGACCAAGTAAGATACTTTTTGATCAATATACAACTAGTGCACTGACAGGCTGGCTGAGTGATTGATGGAAGGACTGAGTGATGCTCTGATTGTGTCACTCACTTCTGGACTGAGTGGTGTACAAAATGTTTAAGTTGAGGTACAGCCTGCAGTCAAGGCAACTACATCAAGTCAAGGCCAAGCTTACTGTTGCTTCATGCCTTGATGCAACAAGGAGTTGGATGGAATGCCACTCTGTTGCATGGTTACTCTCTAGCATTTCCTCAGGTTACCTTGAGCTGAGGAAATGACTGAGTGACTAATTTTTGACTTGGTGAACTGACTGACAGAGTGACTGACTTACTGATTGATGGTGTGTTTGTGTGACTGATTTACTGTCTGACTGATTGAATCAGACTGATTGATTCACTGATTTAGCTAATAACTAAGGGATAGATATTGATTAACCAACTGATGAACTGATTAAATAACTGGCTGACTTAATATCTGACAAACTCACTAACAGTCTGGTATGTAGACAGACAGACAGACCAACTGACTGAGTTGCTGACTGACCAATCGCTCAGTGACCAATTGACTGACAAAACTGATAGATCGATGGCCTCATCAAGTGATGGACTGACAACCAGTGTGTTGACAATTGATTGAAAGCCAATCTTCATGATGTATTGACTTTGTGACTCACTCATACATGTATTCTTACTGGCTGACAAAATGAGTAAATGACTAATGAGGGACCACATGCCTGAGTGGTTAACTGTCTTGTGAAATGAATTATGTATTAACTTGCTAACTGACTGATTGGTTAACTGGTGAATAAATAAACTGACTGCTTAAGTATTAATCATAAGTTGTAAACTGTATTTGGAGGTTCTGTGTCTACAGGATGACCCTCGTTTCACTTATTTTCCTTTTTTGTAGTAATGCTCAAGTTATAATGAAATATTATTTTTCAGGATTCCCCATAGCCAGATGGTAACAAACATGTTCTTGTGCCTGTGATTGATTCCCTTCAGCAGAATGCCAAATCACGTTTTCATGGTCTGAGGGTAAGTTTTTAAAGGGACTACACAATGAATTCTCTTTACATTACAAGAGGTTAATTATTTGTCTAATTTTAGTATGTAGAGCCTGCTTAACGTTTTTCGTTACATAAGGTTGCTCTTAACCGTAAGTAATGATAATAATAATGCTTATAATGATAGTAATAATACTAAAATAATAATGATAATAATATTAATAATAACAATAATGCTTATGATGATAGTTATAATATTAAAAATAATAATAATATTAATAGAAACAATAATGCTTATAATGATAGTACTAATACTAAAAATAATAATGATAATTATAATGATTTTAATAATAACAATAATAGGATTTAGCAGTGGACATTGCACGCAATGGCTATTCTCTGTCCACTCTTTCCAGATCAATTTGGAAGTTGGTTTTTTTGTGGGGGAGGCAAAACCGGCGGACTCGGAGAAAACCTCGGAGTAAAGTCGAGAACGAACACGTAACTCAACCCACATGTGACGTCAGGTCCAGGAATTGAACCTGGGGCCACAGTGGTGGGAGGCAAGCGCTCTCATTACTGTGCCATCCCTGCTCCCCTATATGCAGAAGACCGTAGACCTTTGCAGAAAGATGATTGGGTGAATGCAATTCAGTGAAGAGTAATGGGGGCCACTGCACTCGTTTATGAGTAACTAGCACATAAAGTTAAGGGTGATGCTATAGTAACCTGTCGTCGGGAAAATGGTCGCAAAAAGGGGGAAAAGTTGAACAGCTTTTGGTACAAGTACCGTGTTCAAGGACACACTCGAAAAAGTGTCCATAGTACAATCCATCAAAGAATTGGTATTTAAAAGTAGCGAATTCATGTAAAGCCACCTTAGGTTTAAATTATCAATCAAATAAAAATGAAATCACTCGAAAAAATTCATGAACTTTTCTTGGTAATCATTTCTTTTTAGATAGCTTAATAGGCTGTTTTACAACTTTGTTTTCTCTTAGGACACCATTGGTTTTAACTTGGCTGGGCTGTGTTTCATTCAAAACGAGATAGAAGCTAGAGAGGAGAATCTTTTTGCAAACGCGACCTGAAAAAGTGAGAAAGAGTCGGAAGAAATACAAATCGAATTTTGTATAAGTTGTGAAATAACTGTGTTAAGTTGCGTTTTTAATTATTAAAATAGTACCTTTGGAAAGGAACTGGAACATTGTCATTGCTAGGCACTTCGAAAAACTATCTGCAAAGAAAATTGGTTCCAAAAAATGAGGAACCAAAGAATGGTACCTAGGAAACGCCCCCTTTAAACATCACAACATCAAAGTAAACCCATCAAACCCATAAACGGGCCATCAGAAAAAAGGGGAATGTCGCTAGTAATGAAACTCCAAATGGAAACGTGTAACTGCCTGAAGCGCGGGAAAGCACCTACGATAAAGTCGCGTTCGGTTTTAGTCCAGCATTTCACTGGGTGATAAGGTGGGGCCAGTTTTCCATGATTCAAATTGTATCCCCCTCTGCCTTCCCAAAGCCATTTTCAGCATTTTCCAGGCCTGTATTTTGAAACGAGGGGCATGAGCGAAAAATTCTTTAAACCTTAATGCTGGCTGTTTTCTACTAAGACAAAAAAATGTCTAGATTTTCCATTGTTTGCCCTCTTAAATCTGAAATTCAGATTCCACTTCCAAATTCCTATTGATCAGCGTACTTTTCTTGTGTAGTTGTAGCCGGAGGTTCAACTTCCCCAAAACATTATTCGAACATTTATTTGTATTTTGTAAGTTTAAACAGTACAACATCAACTTTCCGAATGATAGCGTTCTCAGACGAGCAAAAGCAGCTAATCATCATATCACACAGATACAGCTATGACCAAACATTCGACCACATCGCCTGACAAAGACTAGCAATATGGCATTAGAAATTGTGCGATCTCAACAAGATTGATAATGACTGAATCATAAGACAAACTTGTTTAATAGACTAACAAGGCAACTCAAGTTAAATCAGTTCCTTGAATAATTAAATTCAAAAAATTCTTATTTTCATTTATCCATTTATTTCTTTTCTTTTTTCAGTTGTATTCCATCTGAGTTCTAAAGTGTACGTAATATTTCTACGACCATATTTGTACCCTTTGAAATTTACCAAGTTCGAAATCAGGCATCATCAGGCTATCCCATTTTGTTACGTTATTGAACGACAGTAGCCGAACAGCTACTCGGTGCTTTTCGGTTTGCCTTTCAAAGTCGGAAAACTCATTTAAATTACAAATAATTTTTCACAGTTAATATTCATATTTGCCAGCAGTCTTGCACGTGGAAAGAGCGAAAGAAGTTCGAGAAATTTCAGCGTCTTTTGCAGCTTTTCTGGGGCCACAAAACATATCACTTCCACCGTTATAACCTTAGATACAGTATGGTCCGTTCTGTCAAGTCCAGCGTGTGTTTCTTCGTTCGAAGTTGCTGAGTAAGGTGGCTCAAATCCGACGTCGAGGATTGATGGAAGTCATTTTGTTTCGAATTTTCCCGAGGTACGTAACTCAAGTATGATACACATTTAATATAAGTACAGTGTCTCGCCGTTGCCCTCGAAAATCAGGTCAAACTGCAGAACAAGGTACAAAAAGGAAGAGTATAGGGTACAGAATAAGACTACTTCTCAACTGCAGCCGCCATGACAGTTCTTATTGCAGCATGGAACTTTTTGGAGCAACAGTGAGAAATTGTTAATCTAATGTTAGATTATTGATATTTGTGTGCGTATCCATCGCTTTTTGTTTCTATACTCGTTTTTACTCTACATGCAATCATTTATGCCCACAGCATGTCAAAATTTAATTTGCTGTCAATGGGCTTATTGATTCCATGACACACAAGGTTTAAACTTAGGCGAAGTCATTGTGTAATGCACTTAAGCGAGAAAATTCCACTCAACAATGTCCCTCTCCATCCAGGAATAAAAGTCATTTAATTAAATACCAGTGAACTGTCGAAGAAATCTAACAAAATACTTAAGGGAGCTCGGCTCATCCAGGAGAAGAAGCGGAGGCTCCAAGTATCTTCACACCTCACTTAACAGAATATGCTCCATTAGCAGCAATGGATGTCATAATTAGTTTTGTGTTCATGGATTGGCTTTTATCTCGCATCGCTTTTCAGAGGATTTCGAATGTAACTTTACTTCACCGTTGTTTGAGTTCTTTCGATCTAGACAACAATCTTTATTATACACGGTAAACTGAAGTACATGTATTTAATTTAAGATGAGTATACTCCTATTCGAAATCGATTTGAACTGTATCTTGTATTTTCTTTCTCTCTTCAGCACAACATCAAGCATAGAATGAGAACAGCTCGAAATAAGACATTCGAGGAAGGAAATAGAAACTTGAGAATTTTTTCTGAGGTAAGTTTTTCAATTTTTTCAAAACGAATTCGGCGCTTGTACGTCTTATCTGTTTTGAATGCTTTCACTCCTTAGATCTCATCAGTAATTCTCCTTACTGTCTTTCATACAATTCTTATGATGTTAGTTTGGAGAATTTGGTGTTGGATCAACCAACAGTCCCCTTGATATTTTTCTCTGTTCTCATCAGTTGTCTGTTCGACATTAATAATAAATAGCTAATGATTATCGTGCATGAAAATACATCTAACCTACCTAGTGTAGCGACAGTTTAGCATATCAAATATTCCTTTAATTTCTATATATTTTCAGAGAATACGGATCCTGAAAAGGAGTAAAAAAAAAGGAAATGCTTCTTAAGAGTTGATGTCACTTATATTATTATTATCAGAGGTTTATCTGATAAAAAATTATCCGTTTTGTTTTTCTTTCCGAATCTGAAAAAAGATACCTTTTTAGTTATTACGAGTACTTATCTAAGGAAAAGTTTTCTTGCATTTTTTTCTTTCTCCCAAGGCAGCGTCAACCATAAAATAAATAACTTGAGACTCAAACGAGACCAACTATAGTTGACAACATATTAGAGAACTTATTCTACAAAGATGAAATTTTTCAATTTCAAAATTGATATTTTATTTTACTTGCAGAGTCCAATGGAAGAAATATAAACTACGATGGGCGAGGAAGAATTGCAAGGTTACAATGATGGAATAAAACAGAATCTGAGTGATGTGAGTGAACTAAGCAATTTATTGTTTTGTTAGAAGTTAAAAGCAATCTTTAAAAAGGAAATTTATACAACGTCGCCAAAATACTCAGCTAAAGTTTCCTTAATTTGGAATATTCTAAATTATTCGGTCAATATCACATCATTAATATAACATTAACATTTTCTTGCCTTCTTGTTAATTGTTGCTACACTTGTCAGTCCTTTCCCAAAAGGGACACGCCTAGTCCTTTAATAGCGTGCGATATGTCATTTTAAAGATCATTCTATAATTGGATTTGAAGTGTCTTGAGAAGGAGAAAAAGGATAACGATTTGGAAAGAGAAATAAACAGAGAGATGTAGGAAAACTCAGCGAAAGCCTAGTTAATTATTTGCTTGTAGTAATCCACGACAACAATTACACTAAAAGAGGAGGAGAAATTAAAGGGAGGAGGAAGGTCAAATTTTCTGAGCGTGTCAGGTCTGGAGACAAATATGATGAACTCGAGAAACTGAAACTTCCATCAAAACTCGTAAATCTTGCAAAAAGAACTGTCTATTGTCATGAAAGTCACCAGATAGTCTTATAATTTCATTGTTCAATCAATTTCGGATGCTATGACCCAGTCCCCTGTTACTGTTCCTCGTTACTTTAGCATCTTTGTTAAGAATTGATAATATAAAATATGTAGTAGACATAACCTTTTTTATTTAAACGCAAATAAATCTATTTTAAAAATACTCAATGAATGGTGCCATTGATTGAACTATTGCAAATAATTTAGTTGATATTATGTCATTTTACAAGTGTCTTCTTTTCTTTTGTATTTGTTACTGATGAACTCCAGGAATACTCCATATTGATGCCAAAAAACAAAGCCTGAAAATCAAACTATTGTACATGTAGATTGCTTTTCTAGTCAAGTTCTACCTTTTCAGACGAATGTTTCGCACCACCAAACTTAAAATAATATATATTAAGCGACACAGAATTATTTCTTACACCAAGAAAAATAAATCTTAAATTCAAAAAGGACCTCTCTCGACTTAATAAAAATGTAACATAAAAATAATCCAGACCAGTCAAAGACATTTTCAACTAAAAGAAGATTATTGGAGAAGTCGTTAATATTGTGTGTTAATTTCAAATTTTTATCCAAAATGTAAACAGGTAAATATCAGGGTTAAGTTAAGAATCAATTGTCGCTGGTTTGGCCAATCTTTTTGATTATCTGTGACGAAACCATGAGTAACGCTTATGGGAAGCCACCCAATACCCTCAAATTATCTGACAAATATCCCTTTCACCTGACATCAAATAAAGATAGGTTACTTGGACAATGAGGTCAAACGTCGGGTATGCGAGAGGAGATAAATTTTGGGCACCGTGCGCCAATTTCCCGCGCAAATTTTACGGGGAAAACTTAAGAAACAATTGCTGTCATGTTCAGAGAAATCTGTAAAAGGAAGAAAAATAGGAGAAGGAACACTCGAGTCTTTTAGAACACAAAGCTTATTCAAATACGGGCATCCTGTTGATTAATCATTCTGTTTAAGCTCAACCAAAATAGTTATCCGCCTCTAAAACATCGTGACTTATTAGCTTGTGTAGTTGTTTGTAACTTTTGTGAGGCAACTTGGTTTTGACAGCCTGAAAGCACACTACCGAGTCATTTCAACGTTCGCACATGCGCACACGTTTGACAGCTGTGTTGGCCTCTAAGACTCTAAGAGCACTAGTGGTAATAGTTAAAAGAATGCTTATAGCTTATTTGATGAAGAGGAAATCAACCGTGTGCATTTTGTGTTATTCAGTCAATTTGTTTCATTGGACTTGCAGTGTCAAAAGAAGAGGATTCAAAGAGGATTGGATAATGGAATGGGAAATGAACAGAGAGATAAAGGAGACCTCGGCTGAAAGTAAGTTATTTGAATCATTATTTTTCCGATAATTCAAAGCAATCCATTACAATAGGAATTAAAAAACGTCACCAAAGTATTCATTTTTCTGATGATTCTGTCACTTTTTCTTGTCTCGTT